TTCTTCGTTCTTCTTCATCCCGCTGGCTGCATTTTCTTCTTCTTTCGTTCTTCTCTCCATCTTCTTCCTCGGCTTCTTCTTCCTCCCCATATTCTGCCTTGTTTCTCAATAAAACTGTTGAATATGGTGAATTTAGGGAATGGATGCCGTGCAAGTTGAAACTCAAAGCTCTTTTTAAGGTCCCTTCTCCTACCCACCCATTACAATCCACCCTCTCTTTCTTACAACCCAGCAAAATACCCGACATTATACCACCTATTCAAATCTGCCGATCTCTCTTTCTTAAGCTCAACCCCAAATCTCATCGATCCACACAACCCAACATTAGGCATCTCCTCCCTCTGTCTCTGAGGCCAAACGAAAATTCAATCCCAAGCGTGCAAAATTGTGCATCCCGGTAAAATGAGTTTGTTTTCCTCGATTCTGTGTTACTTCTTTCACTTCGAAAAAAAAAAAAAGAGTTTGAAGGGGTTTTTTTAACAGAATTTTTTTATTTTCCTATCAATTTTCTTTGTTCTGTCCACAATTATGGTTCCAAGAATTTTTTTGTTCTTTCAATTTTTCTACCTTCAACTTATTATACTATAATGTACCTGCAGTCTTGGTTAGTAGAAAGGTCTCTCCACCTTTTGCCTTTAGCGACGCCGACCACACATTCTTCTCGCAATCCCTCCACAAGGTATTTTGCTTCTTTTTTTTCTTAGCCCAGCAAAAAAAATGAAAAGAAAGAAAAGGAAACTATCTCTACCCACTATCCAAAACAAAGAGAACAGAGAAGGGAAAGAAAGAGGACGAAGAAGAAGAGAGAAAACAAACAAGAGGGAAATAGAGAAAAGTCTTGATCCTAGGAGGGATGTGGGGTTTCTAAGATAGCGTGGCTTTTTTATATCTCGTGGCTTTTTTTGTCATTCTATATACTCATTATTATGTATAAAAGTTTATCAAACACTTTGATTGCTCACAATACTTTTCAAATATAGTTTATCAAATGACTAACTGATTTTTTTCATTATTCTTGCAGCACATCAGAAGCAGTTTTTAAAAAAAACATAGCAATGCCAAACTAGCTCAAAGCTGAGGCAGGAGTAAAGTCTGACAAACAGAAAAAAGGTAACAAATACAACTTGAAAGAAGAAAAGTGAGCATGGGTATCCAATAATAAATTTTTTTTTGGGTCATAATCCAATGATGCATTTGTGTACCAGTGATAATAACAGTATCTTGAAACTTTGAAATAATGTTGAATAGGTTGGCTTTGAGTAGAGTCCATTTCAAATTCTCTAATTAACAAGGAAATTCCAACAGCATAAGCATAACTACTAAACAAACATATATGTAAATAAAATCAATACACAAAAGAAGACTCTGGTGAGAAATCTGAGGCACTTGAAAATTGGAAGAAACTAGCAGATTCCATCTCCATGTGGATTGACTTTTCAGTTTTGGGGTTTGGTTTTTTCTTTCTTGGTACCAAAAAAGTGGCCGTGCCCATTATATACTTGAAGAAAAAAAGGAGGGCGTTTGAACTTTGAACAAAAGCCAAAAGAATTACAAAGGGCACATATTGTAATAAAATAAAAATGATTTAAAAATAAGCAGCTGAAAGCTACGATTTGTGGTGAGGGAGGATGTTTTTAGGATTGCAGTACCAAAATCTAGTGCAAATTAATTGTTCTTTCTATATTGCAAGGACCCGTATATTTACACACGTGGGTCAAATAAGGCACGGCGGCGGGATTTGACCAAGAAAACACAATTACAAATCGTAGCTTTTTTTTTGGTAACTGGATTTTTCATAAAACAAGCCAAAAGGTAAATTATAATCACAACAGTACAACAACAAGCTGTTTAATCTTTCCCATCCCAAAAACCACACGCAGAACCTCATACTTAATTACTAATTAAAGCATTAATGTGAAAGAATATTTTGCTTTTCCTACCTTTGGTATTATCACCCCAAAAGAATATTTTTAATTAATGTCAAAGAAAATTTTGCCGACAACTTAACTTTCTTTCATAAAAGTTGAAAGCTCAATGCCACTTTCTTTCTTGAGAGTTGAAAGCCCTTTGTACGCAACTTTCTCTCTTGAAAGTTGAAAGCTCATGACAAAGAAATGTTTTTAATGTAATTTTGTCTTTAAGCATGCAATAACTTTTCTTTCTTTAAGATTGAGTAGTTAACTTTTCTTTCTTTAAGATTGAGTAGTTTTCTTTCTTTCTTTCAAACCAAAGAAGTTTTTCTAGACAGACGATTCTATTTTTCTCTCACTTCTGCAGTCCTGAAACGCTTCCATTCTTCTCACACTTATGCAGTTCTCAAATCGGAGTCACATCTTAGCAGTTGCTCTCTTCTGAATCTTCAAAATAAATGGTTTATTAAATTAAGGATTTAGAGTTTGGATTATTGATATGTTGGTAGGGAGAGCACTCTATGTGCTGTTTGTTTTTCGCTTAGGTACTTGGCAGGCAGTCATCAAATAGAATGGGAGGGTGGGGCTGGGGCTGTGGGTGAGGATGGGATGGTGAGGTTGTGGGTGAGAAACAAACAGAGGGAGGAGAGGGAAAGAAAGGCTTTTTTTCTTCTTCTTGAAAATAGAAAGATTAAAATACCCTTAATAATGGATGAAAAATTGGATAGTGTTCATTCAGATAACAAATTATAGATTTTGAAAAATTCAAGTGATATTTCTCTTAAATTTTTCTTTAAGGTGACAAACTAAAACTAAAGTGACATTTCTAAAAAAAAATCCTTTTATAAAACTCACTTTTTCTTTCTTTAGATACTTGCAAACCAAGCCAGTGAGGCCTTGTAAAGCAACATGTCTCAAAATAGTTTATGTATTTTAAGAATGACGAGTGTGAATTTTAGACTTGAAAATAGAAAGATTAAAATACCCTTAATAATGGATGAAAAATTGGATAGTGTTCATTCAGATAACAAATTATAGATTTTGAAAAATTCAAGTGATATTTCTCTTAAATTTTTCTTTAAGGTGACAAACTAAAACTAAAGTGACATTTCTAAAAAAAAATCCTTTTATAAAACTCACTTTTTCTTTCTTTAGATACTTGCAAACCAAGCCAGTGAGGCCTTGTAAAGCAACATGTCTCAAAATAGTTTATGTATTTTAAGAATGACGAGTGTGAATTTTAGGGCAACATGTCTCTCCAAACTCACTAAGTTTTGCCTTTGGTATATATGACTAATATTGCTTTATTAATTCTATGAATTTTATTTTATTATTAAGCATCGATATAATTTTTTTTTCTTTGTCTTAATTTTGCTGTAGGTTCGAAGTTGAGTTGCTTGGTTAAGAGGTACTCTCTTAATTTATGCAGTTTTTTTGTGTGGTTTATTTGTGGTTACGGTTTTATGTGTTATAGAAATTTCCAACTTTTGCTAGATTTGTATGATTGTATATGATTTTTATGATGATGAATGATCGATATATATATATATATATATATGTTGCGAATGTATATTTGGTAATAGAATAAATTCACTACTTCGAGAATAGGATTTAGATGCTGGTAGTTCATTGGAAGCCACATTTTTTCAAGGGTTACGGTTATTTACCCAAAGTAAAAACCAAATGCAAGAAAGACACTTTGAGATTATACAGCTAAAACGACTTGAGGTAATTTCAAAGGTATCAGAATAAAAATTCCAAAAGTTTTGAGGAAGAAAAAGAATGACCCTATTAAAATAATAGAGCTTTATTTTAAGATCATTATATAGTTTAATAACATAGCACACAAAACCAAAATTTACGTATTCAATAAAATGTCAATAATCAATTCATGAATCTCAAATTACTAAACTGCAATTAACAAATCCCGCAAATTACAAGCATTGCCACCGTATCTAAATTTCATAATCTAAATATTTTATTTAAAGTCACCCCCTCCTGTTGCATTAATAATTGACACAAATTAATATGCTAATCCAATTAAAAGTACCGGCAAGTGCACAAATCTGTTGGGGCATAAATTTTGTAAGTACGGGGTCGATCCCACGATAAACTGTCGGCTTACTACAAGTTCTAATTTGAGTACATAAAGAACACTTATTTAACACAACACAAATGCAAGATACAAATTGGAAGCTAAAAATGAGTAAAGAAAGGTAAAAGAAATGAAACAAAACCTTGGGCCACTGTTTGGAAAATACGTCAATACGCACATAATACGTGAATGATACATTTGCATATCTTTGATAAAATATGTCAAACACAAATTTTTCCATATCTTTTATAAGTGTACAGAAAACAGAAGTAATACATGAATAATACGATAATTAACTAACCAGGCATAATATTTAAAATAGCATAGATATACAATCCTTTATATGTTATAAGGAGACATTTCAGTTTCGGAAAGAATATGACGTCACCTAAATTACGTTACAGGACGTTCACATGGATAGACAATGGATTAAGATGAAAAATAGGTTGAGTAAGGAATATATGGATGGTATTGCATCATTTATGGGAGTTGCAATTCAGCAAGTGAATGAAAAAAATGAGACGAGGTGTCCTTGCAAGAAATGTTTGAATACGCAATGGAAAGCTCTTCAAACTGTCCATGCACATTTGTGGGAGTATGGGATGTCTGCTGTTTATCACACATGGATATACCATGGGGAAAAATTTGGGTTACCTAGACAAGATGCAACTCTTCCAAATGGTGTAGAGGCACTTGGACCCAATGATGTTACTTATGATATCTTAAATGATGCATTTCCTCGAGACATGAATCAAGATTTGCATGGAGAATGTGATACTTTTGGAGGAATGAAGATGTAGGTGATAGGGAAGATGATGGAACTAATGTGCATAGGGTTGCGGCTAAAAAGTATGAGATGTTAATGGTTGAGGCCGAACGAGAACTTTTTCCAGGTACTAATGGGCTTTCAGTTTTGACTGTTATGGTAAGGTTAATGCAGGCCAAAGTTGAAAATCATTGGACTAACAAATCATTTGATATATTGTTAGAGATACTAAATTGGGCTTGTCCTAAGCCACATAATTTTCCAACCACTTATTATGCTACGAATAAGATGTTGAAAAATTTGGGTCTAGGGTATGAAAATATTGATGCTTGTGTGAATGATTGTGCTTTGTTTTATAAAGAGCATGTTGGGAAGGATAAATGTCCTGAGTGTGATGAGCCAAGATATAAATCAAGTACTAATGAAAAAAGAAAGAAAGTTCCACAAAAAGTATTGCGTTATTTTCCTCTGAAGCCAAGATTACAAAGAATGTTCATGTCAAAGCATACAGCTAGTCAAATGAGGTGGCACTTTGATAAACGAGTTGATGAGTATGGTGTTATGAGGCATCCAGCTGATAGTATTGCATGGAAGGAGTTCGATCGTATGTACCCTGAGTTTGCTCAGGAGCCTAGAAATATAAGGTTAGGCCTTGCAACAGATGGGTTCAACCCATTTGGAAGTATGAGCACAAGTTATAGCATGTGGCCGGTGATGGTTGTTCCATATAATCTTCCACCTTGGATGTGTATGAAACAACAATACTCAATCATGACTTTACTTATTCCAGGCCCAAAAGCACCAGGAAAGGATATTGATGTGTATTTGCGCCCATTAATAGATGAGCTTAAGGAGTTGTGGGAGGGTGTTCCAACTTATGACAAGTTTACTGATTCTGGATTTAAGATGCGGGCAACTGTGATATGGACAATTAACGATTTTCCTGCTTATGGCAATTTATCTGGATGGAGCACTAAAGGTTACTTGGCATGTCCCGTGTGTCTTGAGGACACATCACATACCAAGTTGAGAAATAAAATTTGTTACATGGGGCATCGTCGTTATTTGAGAAAGAATCATCCGTGGCGTAAAAGTTGTGACTTTGATGGAAAGTATGAGATGCGTGATCAACCGAGGGTATTCTCTGGTGATGAGATATTACTTCAATTCAATCATCTCAGACCTTGTAAGCCTGGTAAGCACCCTGATAATTATGATAGAAAGAGGAAACGAATGCCCATGGAATTAAATTGGACAAAAAAGAGTATTTTCTTTGAATTGGAGTATTGGTCTAAGTTGAAAATAAGACATAATTTGGATGTAATGCACATTGAGAAAAATATATGTGACAACATTGTTGGGACACTATTGAGCATAGAAGGAAAGACAAAAGACACGATCAATGCACGTTTGGATATGATAGACATGAATATACGAAGAGCTTTGCACTTACATAGAGATGAAACTAACTTAGTTAAGAAGTACCCAGCAATCTACACGTTGTTACCACATCAACGTCAATCATTTTGTGAATTTTTGAAATCTGTAAAATTTCCAGATGGGTATGCAGCCAACATATCAAAGAATGTTAAAGAAGATGGGAAAATATCTGGTTTGAAGAGTCATGATTGTCATGTTTTGCTTCAACAACTTCTACCTGTTGGGATTCGGCCGTACTTGCCAAAAGAGGTGTGTGCACCTCTTATGGAATTGTCGAACTTCTTCCAACAAATTTGTGCAAAGACATTAAAAGTTGAAGATTTGGATAGGTTGGAGGTTGATATTGTGTTCAGACTATGCAAACTTGAGAAAATATTTCCACTAGCTTTCTTCGATGTTATGGTTCATTTAGCTATCCATTTACCACGTGAGGCAAAACTTGCTGGCCCAGTAGCATATCGATGGATGTACCCGATAGAGAGGTATTGCTTCTTTTTTGTGCTATTTTATTAACTTTATCTTGAATTATTTTGTATTGTCTACATAATATATTATTATGTGGGATACAGAATGCTAGGGAAATTGAAAGGTTATGTACGTAATAGAGCTCGGCCTGAAGGATCCATTGTTGAGGGATACATTGCAAACGAATCATTAACTTTCTGTTCAATGTATCTCCGTAATGGTGAAATTTTTTCCTCTCATCATGAACGAAATAATGATGGTGAAACCAATGCGAAGCTATCAGTTTTCATGCATAATGCACGCCCGTGTGGTGGCTACAAAATGGTTCAATGGTCAGAGTTGGAAATGGAATCAGCTTATTGGTATATCCTCAACAATTGTGATGAAGTTGAACCTTTCAAAAAGTGTGTAAGTCGATCCATGTTTAATGTGCTTGTTTTAATCTTTGGTTTCAATTTATTAACTAAGAATTTTAAATTGAATGTCATTCTACAGTGAGTTTCGCCAACTGTTAGAAATAGAAAGCCCAGATAACTTGGAACAGAGACAAAGGAAATTGTTTCCGCAATGGTTAAAGACTCGTGTCAAAACATTGAGCAAACAAGGATTGGGGGATGCAACTAACGAATTATATGCATTAGCATATGGTCCAGATAAAAGAGTTGGTATGTATACAGGGTGTGTTGTAAATGGAGTTCGGTGGCAAGTAAAGCATATAGAAGAAACACGCACAACTCAGAACAGTGGGGTTATGGTACCTGGGACACATGGTGATCAACAATCTAACTTTTATGGTAGATTGGTGAATGTTGTGAAGAAAGGTTTTCAAGATGGGTATCATGTTATACTTTTCAAATGTGAGTGGTTTAATACTCAACCAAGATTTTTTAGGAAGAAAAAGATTCACCGGATTCGTCGTGATTATCATCTCACTTCAGTGAATACAACCAATGTATGGTATAAAGATGATCCGTATGTGCTTGCTAAACAAGCCCAACAAATATTTTATCTTGACGACCCTAAATTGGGTTCTAGTTGGAAAGTAATTCAGAAGATTCGACATAGACATGTGTGGGATGTTCCTGAAAATGAAGCCGCTCATGAAGTTGAAACAATCTATGATGAAGGAGTAGACCAAGATGGTGATGATATTGTGATAACAAGTCGAGATGAGAATGAATTACCAAGCACTTCACTTCGTAGAGATGATGCAGAACCTGAAATAGTTGAGGAGGAGATTAGTTTGGAACCAATAGGAGTTGATGATTATGAGGAAGTTTTGACTGATGATAATTCAATTGAAGAACAATTGTCAGGGGATGAGTCAAATAGTGTTCACAGTGATGATTATAGTGATTTGGATTGACATTTTTTTT